GATGAAAAACTTGTAGATATTTAATAGATTCTTGACTAGCTAGGAGCTGCATTTCCTTTCCTTTAATTTTCTTTTTCTGATGATAGAATTAATGCATGCCCACTGTTGAGATTTCAGAAAATACAGAAAGATGGGATCACTTATCACCTTACCACATATAACATATCACTGTTAATGTTTTGCTACATTTCTTTCCCCTACTTTTATGCATAACAGATCTGGATCATAATGTAGTTTTGCGTAGTGCTCTTCTCATATGTTGTGAGTATGGAACATCAAGGGCTCTCAATTGCCCATGAGTCAAGAATTTTAAGCACAGCTCCCTGCTCGTCTCAGCCATGGCCCTGGGGCCAGCACATAAATGTCCCAAGCAAAAGCCTGGCACCTGGGCTGGGAAGGACTAGTCTTTGGATCAAAGCACAGGTCAGCGATCAGGAGTCTGGGACCATAACAGAAATGGAAAGCCAGGGAAGGCATGAGACCAGAGCAAGGATCTGGGATGGAGGGACAGAGGCCAAGCCTGGAGAGATTCCTGGGGAACAGCTGCAGGTACTTTACTACATCTGCTGTGTATTCTCCCACCAGATGGGGAGGAGTGCACAGCTGGAAGGGAAGCCAAGCAGGCCTGGGGTTGGAGGAGTCAGTGTGGCAGCCCTTCATCTGGACCACATCGGGGGATGGGTGTCCCACGCACGTTTACGTGAGGATAACTTACAGTGTCCTGGACATTGCACACAGCTGCGAGACAAGCAAGCTATGACAATGGCAGATGGCATATGCACAGGCAAGCGAGGCTCAGGACATTCAGGCAATACTCTGGAGCCTGCTCAGAACCCAGGGAGCCCCTATGAGTTTCCCGTTTCTTGACCTCCAGCCTTGGATGGATGCGTTCCCATACACCCAGCGGCATCCAGTGAACAGATCCCTTTGCTTAAATATTTATGTGTTTTACTTCTCAAGACAGAAAGTCTAAACTAGTGAAGTCTTGATGCATCAGGTTTGGTTGTGATACATAAAAAACCGATAGTGAAGACTATCCTTCACTATCACACTGGGATGAGTACCAACTGATAAGAAGCTGTTGTTGCAGGGGCGCCTGGGTGGCTCAGCCGTTAAGCGTCTGCCTTCAGCTCAGGTAGTGATCCTAGGGTCCTGGGATCGAGCCCCATGTCGGGCTCCCTGCTCT